GGAGGTAGAGCCTTCAGTTATTAGCCTGTCGTGGTACTGCAGGCTCTAAATGTTACTATGGGAGGTAGAGCCTTCAGTTATCAGACCTGCTAGTGGTACCTACAGTCTCTAAATGTACTATGGGAGGTAGACCTTCAGTTATCAGGCCTGCTCGTGGTACTACAGTCTCTAAATGTACTATGGGAGGTAGAGCCTTCAGTTTCAGGCCTGCTAGTGGTACCTACAGTCTCTAAATGTACTATGGGAGGTAGAGCCTTCAGTTATCAGGCCTGCTCGTGGTACCTACAGTCTCTAAATGTACTATGGGAGGTAGAGCCTTCAGTTATCAGGCCTGCTCGTGGTACAGTCTCTGAATGTAGTATGGGAGATAGAGCCTTCAGTTATCAGGCCTGCTAGTGGTACCTACAGTCTCTAAATGTACTATGGGAGGTAGAGCCTTCAGTTATTAGGCCTGCTTGTGGTACCTCTGGTCTCTAAATGTACTATGGGAAGTAGAGCCTTCAGTTATCAGACCTGCTAGTGGTACCTACAGTCTCTAAATGTACTATGGGAGGTAGAGCCTTCAGTTATCAGGCCTGCTCGTGGTACAGTCTCTGAATGTAGTATGGGAGGTAGAGCCTTCAGTTATCAGGCCTGCTAGTGGTACCTACAGTCTCTAAATGTACTATGGGAAGAGCTTCAGTTATCAGGCCTGCTCGTGGTACCTATAGTCTCTAAATGTACTATGGGAGGTAGAGCCTTCAGTTATCAGCCCACCTGTGTCTGCAGGTTGACCATGTCAGCCTCCATCTCGTTGTTGGACTCGTTGAGGTCGTTGATCTCTCTGTTGAGCTGCTTGATGTCCTCGTCGTTGTCCAGGACTGAGGACGAGAGAGGAACAGGGTCTGAGTTTGAGCTGGACTGTGTTTTTATATTTGTAAATCTGGATGTGAGTCTGATGGACTGATGTCACTGAAGGACTTCCTCACATGATGTTTGTGGATCATGTGACTTTCAGCAGCTCGATATTTAAGATGATACAAAGAATTAATTTGCTCTAGTTTGCTCTTCACTCTGACAGAGAGCCTCATCCAAACCCAGACTACACATTTATAAAAGGACCATTAAGAACCCCTGGACCCCTTCCTCCATCGGGGTCCTTATTGGAGAGTCAGCCCTCCCCCCGTCACACACTGAAGTCTGTGTACCTGAGTTACCCCTAACAGACGTGTTCCTACAGGTGGACCTCATGTTCCTGTTGTTGTCTGAACTCTTTAAAAGCAGCACAGTGTGATGATGATGATGATGATGATGAAGAGACTGAGTGGTAGTTCTGCTCACCATCACTGGCTCTGAACTTGGTGCTCAGGTAATCCTCAGAGGGGAACTTGGCTTTCTTCTTGGCGAACAAAGCTCGAGGACATCCTGAGAGGCTGGAGACACACAGAGAAAAGGAGGAAGAGGAGGAGGAGGAAGAGGAGGAGGAGAAGAGGAGGAGGAGGAGGAGCAGGCGGAGGAGGAGGCGGAGGAGAAGAGGAGGAGGAGCAGGCAGAGGAGGAGGAGGAGAGGAAGAGGAGGAGAGAGGAGGAGGAGCAGGAGGAGGAGGAGGAGGAGCAGGCGGTTACTGTTGTGCTCTTTATATCTCACATTCAGATCAACACTAAACGGTACACTTCAGCGTGCTGCAGGATTTAGTTTTTTATGTTTAAACGTCCATTAAACGACATTTGTCACATTAAAGAAAACAAGATTGCTTCACCTGCAGTTATTTATGTCACTGCAGAGAGATAGAGAGAGGAGTGAAGCAGACTCAAGTCTGAATGCTAAGCTAACCAGTCTGAATGCTAAGCTAACCATCGTCTAGCTTTAGCTTCTGATGTTTTAAAACAACACCTACCTGCGGTGTGTGAGGAAGCTGCCGTTAGCGTGTCCAGAGCCGTCACAGCCGGGGGTGGGGCAGGTGGGTCCCTCTGTCTTAAAGGCCTTCCAGTTGAAGGGGGTCCCGTTCAGGAGACCCTCCTTCTGTCTGCGGGCCGCCAGCGGGCACCCATAGGCGCTGCGGTGTGTGGCGTACTTCCCACTGATATGACCCAGACTGTCACAGCCGGGGACCGGACATCTGAGGAAGAGGAGGAGGAGGAGCAAGAAGAGGGGGAGGGGGAGGAGGAGGAGGAGGAGGAGGAGGAGGAAGAGGAGGAGAAATAAAGAGAGCGAGAGGGTACTGAGGTCAGACGAGAAGGATCCATAAACATTTGGTGTAGAGAAAGACGAGAATATGATGATAAATATTTCATTTGTAAACTTTCTCTTTGGGCCAGATTCATGTTTTCACATCTGTTTGAAACTTTTTATTTTCAGTTAATGATCTAACTGATGGTAGAGCTAGCACATGCTGTTAGCAACATGCTAATGGATTAACTGTTTGTGTGCAGATGCATCATGAAGCCCATGTTTCTGTGCTCGACTGCCTCTGCCATGAACTATAGTCAGTATCTGTGTGTTCCCCTGATTGTGGATAACCGGGGGCAGCTCTCCCTCTCCCTCTCCCTCTCTCTTTTTATTGCATGTTACCGTCAGTCTGGCTAAAAGCAGACATTATGGCTTTCTGAGCGGTACGAACTTTAAAAGCTCCGAGTCCTCCTGGTTGTCCTTGGTAGGAGTTTTAATTCCACTTTTCTTGGCACGCGGGCACCCAGAGAGACTGAAAACAGAAAGTATGGAGTTGATAACATAGGGTTGAAAAGAGCTGTGGTGAAGAGAAAGCTTCATAAAGAATACTGTAACCAAATGACAACTCAAAGCGACTAGCACGGCCCAAAACAGGAGAATGGAAAGGTGTGTATGTGATCCCTGACTAACTCTAGCATGAACTGTCACTAGGCCTCTCTGACTGTCTGTGAGTGTGTGTGTCAGTGTGTGTGTGTTTTCAGGAGTGTTTGTTACCTTCTGTGCGAGGTGTAGTTTCCTGTGATATGTCCCGAGCCGTCACATCCTGGAGTTGGACATCTGGGAGAGAGGAGACCAGGAGGTTTTAATCAGCGTGTGACGGTCGTCATGACACCAGAATTTAAACTTTGTTATGATTCAAATCAAACCAAATCCACACCTGTTTGTTACCGCGGCAACAAAAATACAAGTCCTACACACCCAGTATCGGGTCATGTGTGGTGTTTTTGTGGTTTATAGTTTTTAATCATCAATGATCGCAGACAAACTTTCTGAAGCAAAACGTTTCCAATGTTTGTGTGCAGCGGGGATTATAGGAATCTCTCCTGTACACGTGATCTGTGATCCCTACAGATTCTATGGATCATTAAAGGGATACTTCACCCGTTAAAACATGAATCTGTATTGACATTGGGTCATATATGTAGTAGAAATGTGAAATACATTTAGAAGTTGGTGCCTTCTTGGCTGAGAAAAGGCAGAAAGTGTCTTTTTGGCTCATGTGGATGAAAGACACCTAATCCCAGAATGCACAGCACCGCAGGCCACTCCCACTAAGGTCCTCTATTTACACACATGTTTACTTCAACACATGAGGCCATTTCCTCAACTGATTCAGAGATTTCTTCCAGAATTGATCTTGGAAATTCCTGGCAGAAAACAGGCAGGCCTTATGTCCCAGCTGCTGAGCTGGCAGCGGCCGGCGACATCCAGCAATATAGCAATTTAGCAGCGAGATGGTTGCTGCCGACAGGCCGGTTTTGTTTCTTGGCTGCTGCGACAGGCTGGTCTTGTGTTTTGGCCGCTGACCGCAGCAGCCGCTATATTTATATTTTTTCTCCATTATCAGCTTTCTCCATTGAGCCTGTTAGCATAGCTTCCAAGCAATATGGCGAACATTAAGTTTCGATTCTGGGAGTGAGTTCCCACCCACTGATCTGTGATTGGTCTGTAGCTTCAGTGGTCGAAAATATGAGGAACTAGCGTTGTAGTTTCACCCTGCTAACCACAACAGCTTCTTCCTTTTCAGACTTACAAATACAAAGATTTCCCATCTCAGGGGAAAATGAGGGCGGGATGCACGACCATTCAAAAATACTACCAGGTTTCTAATGATACAAAGATTAATGCAGATGGGTGAAGTATCCCTTTAAATATTATCATCAGAGGTTCATTTCACATTCACACAGACTGAAAGGCCAGATGCAGAAAAGCAGCGTGACAGATGCAGTGGCGGCAACAACAAAAGCAGCGTGAGTGTCAGCAGAGTGTTGGGCGTGTGTTGGGCGTGTGTTGGGCGTGTGTTTGGCGTGTGTTGGGCGTGTGTTTGGCGTGTGTTTGGCGTGTGTTGGGCGTGTGTTGGGCGTGTGTTTGGCGTGTGTTGGGCGTGTGTTGGCCGTGTGTTGGCCGTGTGTTTGGCGTGTGTTGGGCGTGTGTTGGGCGTGTGTTGGCCGTGTGTTGGCCGTGTGTTTGCCGTGTTTGGCCGTGTGTTTGGCGTGTGTTGGGCGTGTGTTGGGCTTGTGTTTGGCGTGTGTTGGCGTGTGTTGGGCGTGTGTTTGGCGTGTGTTTGGCGTGTGTTGGGCGTGTGTTGGGCGTGTGTTGGGCGTGTGTTGGGCGTGTGTTGGGCTTGTGTTTGGCGTGTGTTGGCCGTGTGTTTGGCGTGTGTTGGGCGTGTAGCAGCAGTGAAGTGTAGTGAAAAGGAGTGAAGGTGTAGAGCACACATACTTGAGTTCAGGCGTGTGGGCCGCCATGAGGGACCGAAGGCTCTTATCAGCGAGAGGACACCCAGACAGACTGAGAGGAAGAGCGAAGGGCGGGCGAAGAAGAGGAGAGCGTGTGAAAGGAGAGGAGAGAGAGAGAGAGAGAGAGAGAGAGAGAGAGAGAGAGTGAGTGAAGGGAAATCAAGAATGCGAGGCATACCAAGGTCATTTAGGAAGAAGAGGACAGACGGCCAGAAGTAATTTACTGATGCATATCAGAGTCAATGAGTGTCCGTGCTCGCCGGCTCACTCGCCCTTATTGCCTCGGGCACGTCAGGATGAAATCAAATGTTTGGACTGGTCGAGTTTTGGACTCTCACTCTCACTCTCACAGCTCACGCTTTAAAACACGAGTTTGATTTCTGCAGGAAATAAGTGAAAAGGTAAAAACCTGCGATGAGAGGCGTAGTTTCCAGTGATGTGACCGCTGCCGTCACAGCCAGGCGTGGGACACCTGAGAAAGAGAGAGAGAGTGTAGTTCTTTATTCATCCTCCATGTTTGTAGTGACGTTTTTAGTCATGTTTTTAGTGACAGAAGAACGGCTGTTGATCCAGACTTCACATGAAGTGAAATGTTTTAAATGATTCTGATTGGATAAGATTTGAATCACCTGTTTGACTAAAATAAAATGTGTGATGTTTGTATATGACGGTAATTAAAACATCAGTTTTTGACCTCTTTAGCATTAGCATGTTAGCATGGTCAGGGGTTAGCATTAAGCTCAAAGCTAGCTCCTGGTGACTTACGAGAGCAGCTCTTTCTTGGCGTCCTTGGGTTGAAATTTGACCTTGAAGCTCGGGGTGGTGACCTCTCCTGGGTACTTCCTGTCTTCCATACAGTCCTGCATCATGTCGCAGTCCTCGGGGTCAGAGGACACGTATGAGTGACCCGTGTGCTCCATCTGACAAACACATAACGTGCACAGCTTTAACTCTTTGACCCTCTCATATGAACTCGTGTTTCTCAGAGTGGACAGCTTTCTCCTGACAGTTTCTACATCTGTGTACACACTCAGGAACTTTGCAGAGTGCCATGTGCACACTCGTCTCTGCTCTGATCCTTTTCTTATTCTCTTGTAGACAAGTGATGCAGAGTGTCCTCATAAAATATTTAAACTCAAAGCCCTTTTTATATTTCTTTTGAAAAAGTTCAAAGGAGCACAAATTAGCATATGCCAAAGTCAGGATGGTGCAATCTACCTGACACACCAGCTGTGCTGCACGGAGCGGTGTTTTAAGGGAGCAGAAACTCCATGTTTCACAGAATAAATGAATAATAGAAAGAGGGGACAGGAACCACGGCAAGGGGATGACAGGAAGACAAAGTGATGTAAACGAGTAAAAGAGCTCAGGGCCCGTTTGTTCTGTTGTTATTTATGCTGCAGCGTTTCCTCCACAGGAAGAACGCCGCCTGTTAGGAGCTCGCTCTCTAATCACACTGACCTCGTCCATTTCCTCCTCCCTCTGGCGGTTAGGTTTGGTGTAATCCAGAGGCCCCTCCCACTCCTCCTGCTTGTAGGCGAGAAGGTTTGGTGATGTCATCCCGCTGCCATGATGGAGAGAGGAGGAGGAAGAGGAGGGGTCGGGGGAGCGGACCCCGGGGCTGGTGCCGGACAGACTGCCCTCACGTTTAATGGGCTTCTTCATGCTCAGGTCCAGAGTGCCGTTCTCGTCCACCTCGATGTCCATCTCCTGCAGAGGAGAGAGAGAGAGAGAGAGAGAGAGAGAGAGAGAGAGAGAGAGAGAGAGAGAGAGAGAGAGAGAGAGAGAGAGAGAGAGGAGAACAACATCATTAGATTTTAATGCAAACATTGATAAAAGAAAATGTCATGTTGGGTCTAATTGAATCATATTTTATTGATGACTGACTCACTGCAGGAGACAGACTCTAGTGGACACTGGAGGAACTGCAGCTGTAAAGTTGAACATTTTAACATGGGGATTCAAAAAGTTTGCAGGTTTTGTGTCCACTTTCAGCCTGAGAGGTTTTTGTAAAGATCTGATCGTTCTATCAGGAACGATTGTGATTAATTGACCTTCTCTGAGCAGATTCAGTTGCAGAGCGACATAATCGAACCTAAATGTGTCTGTGTCGTAGCGTCACATGTTGGCTTTGAGAGAGGATCTTAATTTCAGATTAGACTGAACGATTCTGAGGTGAACTTATTGATTCATCTACCTTCACCTGTGTGTGAAATCGTCCTCAAGCTTCATACGGTCTTTGTTCCACTTCACTCCCTTCATCCATTCAGCGTGCACTAATGATATCTAATGTATTCTGCTGATTCTCTGCCAGCAGCAGCACCGCCGTGTGCTTCATCTCTGCGCTCGGTCGTGGTTCTGGCAGCTGAACAGACGCAGAGCGAGGAGACAGGCCGTGTCTTCAGCCGTCATCTAACACAAGCTGGTCAGGAGCCAGACAAGTCAAAGAACAGATCTTAGATCAGTCCTGTTTAATGAGCTCGCTGCTCCAGTGTTTCGACACCCGAGTTAACTGTGACTCCAGATCAGTTGTGCTGTATCGGCTCTGTAGCACCGCGCGGCTCGGCCTGCTCTTGGATCTGTGCCTCGCTGAACTTGCGCGCGCTCTGCTCGGCTAACACACACATTAATCTTCACTCTCCATCTCCTGAAACCACGTCAGGAAATCGAAAAATGATGAAGCAGTCACTTTCTCTTCTCTGTGAGGCAAAAGGGCTTTTAAAAATCACAATATGGGGGAAAGTGGAGCTCCAATTACACCTCCTGAGCACAGAGAGGGGAGAGGGGGAGGAGAGGGGGAGATAACACAGAGCAAAAAGAGATGTGAAAAGAAATGAAGGAGAGAGTGGCGGGGGCGGAGGAAAGAGAGTGGGAGATCCGTCCGGCAGATAATGAAAAAAGGCTACCTGGTGGAAAGTAATCCAGGGAACAGGCAGCCAGCCAAATTCAATAACAACATGAAAAGTGTGGGAGGGAGGGAGGGAAGGAGGGAGGGAGGGAGGGATGAAAGGATGAGAGAGGACGGCAGAGGTGATGCAACTCCATCTCAACACCATCCTGTTGCTTCAAGCACAAGTCTCCTGATGATAAATCATGCAGAGAGGAGGGAGGAGGAGAGGAGAGGAGAGGAGAGGAGAGGAGAGGAGAGGAGAGGGAGGAGGGAGGAGGAGAGGAGAGGAGAGGAGAGGAGGGGAGGGGAAGGGAGAGGAGGGGGACACTCAGGAAGAGAGGTGTTAAAAGGACATGAAAGGAAAAGAGGCAAGCACCAATGACAGGAGTAGAAGATGGAAAAGAAAGGAAACAAGAGGACAGGGGAGGATGAAGGAGGTGAGGAGAAGAGGGAAAGAACAGAAGGGGATAGGAAATGTACAGTATGTAAAGAAGAAAAGATGCAAGGACACAGGAAGAAAAGAGATGAGATAGAGAGGAAAGGAAGTTTAAGGACAGGAGAGCGAAGGAGGAGATAAGGAAAGGAAAGGAAAAAGGGGAAGGTAAGATGTGTGTGTGTACCTTGTTGTGTGGTTTGGTGCTGAGGTTCTCCGGTTTCTCCCAGCAGCGAGTGGACAGGTTCAGGATGGCGGTGGCGGCCATGTGGGCGGCCTCGGCATCGTGGGAGTAATCGTAGGCCAAGGAGGAGCTCTTCCCGTAACCGTGGAGAACGATGCTGGGCGACGAGGACTTGGGGAAAGAGGGCTTAGCTGTAGGAGGATAAAAGATTCAGATCAGCTGGTGTGTATCGTCTCCTCAGAGGAGGGGGAACATGGCGTCCTCTCTTACTTTTGAAGGCTTTGGGTGACGTTTCGCTGGTGGCCATCTTTGGAGCGAGCATGCGCTTCCCAAACACTTGAGCATCGAAGCTTGCATAATCGAAGGACACCTTGGAGTACTTCTCCAGCTCCTTGGCCAGGTTAGCTCGAGGTGTGGTGGGGGCCACGTTGGGCCTGTAGCTGCCGAACGGAGGAACCTCCAGCTGCTTTACAAAACACATGGGCCTGGGGGGGGAGATAGAGAGAGAGTCAGGATGGGAGGGTTAAGTTTAAATAAAACAGAATAGACCTGTGGAGAGGAGAGAGAGAGAGGGGTGCAGAGAGAGAGAGGGAGAGAGAGAGAGAGAGAGAAGAGTGCAGAGATTAGAGAGAGAGAGAGAGGGGTGCAGAGAGAGAGAGAAAGGTGCAGAGATAGAGAGAGGGAGAGATGCAGAGAGGAGAGAGAGAGAGAGAGAGATAGATAGAGAGAGGGGGTGCAGAGAGACAGAGAGAGGTGCAGAGATAGATAGGGAGAGAGAGAGAGAGAGAGATAGAGAGATAAGAGGCGACTCTTTGGGAAGGTTCACTTATTGTTCAACTCTTAGCAACAGCACTGTAGATTATATGATCACAGACATGGACCCCCTCTCTTTCAGTGCATTCACAGTCAAGCCCCAGACCCCTCTATCAGACCACAACCAAATCACCCTGTTCCTCAAACAGAACAATATGACACAGACCAAACCCAGCCAACTGTTCAACATCCCCAGGACGTATAGATGGAGCCCCGACAGCACTGAGCAATACCAAGAGGCCAGCAATAGTGAAGAGATCCAATCATTAGTACAAGAGTTTATAGATTACCCATACCCCCCCCACTACCGAAGGCATATGTAAGGCTGTCCAAAATATGAGTTTTATCTTTGAAAGAACAGCAATAAAAAGCTGAACTGAAAGTACGTACAAACAAAAGGAAAACAACCAAAAAGAACCAGTGGCTTGACAAAGAGTATCAAAATCTGAGAAAAGAAGTTAGAAAATGATCAAACCTTAAACACAGAGTACATTCAAACAGTCAACTACGCCTTCAGTACTTTGAAACACTTCAAACTTATAAAAATACAATCAGAAACAAAAAGATCAACCATACACAGAAACAACTACCAAAACCCTCTAGATCTCCCCGTTAATTTGAATGCTAAATTAAAGACCCTCAAAAACAAAAAAGCATGTGGCCCTGATGGCATACTGAACAAAATGCTAAAATACAGCACAGAAAAATTCCAATTGGCTATTCTCAAATTATTCAATTTAATTCTGAGTGTGGGATATTTCCCCGAGAGTTGGAGTCAAGGTCTTATCCCACCGATATCTAAAGGTGGTGACAAAAGTGACCCTCAGAACTACAGAGGAATATGTGTCACCAGCTGTTTGGGCAAAGTGCTCTGCAGCATCATAAACTCCCGGATTGTTGACTTCTTAAAAGAACACAACGTCCTGCGTAAAAGTCAGATTGGATTCATGCCTCACCATCGCACATCAGATCATATCTTCACCCTCAGCATTCTCATTAACCACCATGTACACCAAAAGAAAAAGAAAATGTATGCTTGTTTTGTAGACTTCAGGAAGGCCTTTGACTCCATTTGGCATGAAGGACTCTTTTACAACTTACTAGAAAGTGGCATAGGGGGGAAAACCTATGATTTAATTAAAACTATGTATGTAAATAACAGATGTGCAATTAAAATTGGAAACAAAAGAACAAATTATTTCAGGCAGTACCTTGGGGTGAAACAGGGCTGCAACATGAGTCCAACCCTCTTTAACATATATATTAACACATTCACAGAAGAACTGCAGAAGTCCACAGCTCCTGGTGTGACCCTGCAGGACACAGAGGTCAAATGTCTGATGTTTGCTGATGACCTGGTTCTCCTGTCTCCCTCCCCAGATGGTTTACAGCAGAGCCTGGACATCCTCCACAAGTTCAGCCAAACACTTACTGTCAATATGAACAAGACCAAAATAATGACCCTCCAAAGCAGATCCAACTCTCAGAGAAACACATTCACATTAGGAAACATAGAAATCCAGCACACCAAACAATACACATATTTAGGCTTAGTCATCACTCCCACTGGACAATTTGGCATGGCTGTGAATGAGCTGAAAGAGAGAGGAAGAAGGACTTTTATGCCATCAAAAAAAAAAATCAGATTGACATTCCAATTAGGACCTGGCTCAAAATTCTCAATTCAATAATAGACCCAATCATTTCATATGGTAGTGAAGTATGGGGCCCATTAACGAACCAAGACTTCCCCAAATGGGAAAAACACCCGCTGGAAGCCCTGCATGCAGAACTGTGTAGAAACATCCTGAGAGTCCACAGACACACGGCCAGTAATGCATGCAGGGCAGAACTCGGCCAATACCCTTTAATCATTAAAATCACATTCTATAAACACCTCCAATCCAGTGACCCCCACTCCTACCAGTTCAAAGCCCTTCAGTGCCAAGAGTTGAACCCAGATAAGAGTCCCCTCTGCCAGCTGATCCTGAAGCTCCGCCCTCAAACACCAGGGCTTCAGGACACACCCCAAACAATCTGGC